GGATTGGGGTGTCCGGTCTGAAGATTGATTTCGGCCACGTGCCTAGGACCCTTACTTTTCTAAGGAGGAAGAAGTCTAGTACAGCTGATTCAACCTCGCAGTTCCAGATAGTTGGCATGTCCGTACTGGTGTGGGTGATCGGGAAGGAGAGGAAAGTAGCAGTGGTGTGAGATCCTTGCTGCATGTGGGAGAACTGATAGGCTCTTGTGGGGGATGCGTCTTGAATCTTAAGGCCCCAATCGCCCGGACTCCACCGTTCATCTTTAACCAAGATGTCTTTCCACTCCTGTGGAATGCGATCGAGAATATAGTGGAGATTGTTCCCTCGTTTATGACATCCTTTTAGTCGGCCACTGAGTTCTTGTTCCGTTATCCAGTCTTTTCTGTCCTCTTTCCATAGGTGATCTACTTTCCAGATACCGTTCTTGACCCAGGACAACCATCTTTGTTCGAGGAAAAGTGGGTTGTTAGCTTCATTAGTTAACCACTCATTGCCAAAAAGCGGTTGCCTTAATACTTCGTCCTTGGATTTAGGTCTCTTTGTCTTGTCAGAAAATATTTTCCTCCATGAACAGAGTAGTGCCGGCCAGTAGGGTGTGGGAGGATCCGGAGATACAGGGTCATCCGCACAGGACTCCGGACATGTCCGGATTATCCGGAAATTCCCGGAAATCCGGACTACCGGATCAAGCTGGGAAATGCGAAATGCGGCGTCCGGTGTCCGGATCTGTCTGGATGACTTGTCCGCCGCTGCCATGGTTCAAACCAAACACTGACAGTTAACCACCTGCGTGGTGCAAAGGCTCAGCTTCCCCACTCTTACTTTTGTCAAGCCAGGGTCATCCGCACAGGACTCCGGACATGTCCGGATTATCCGGAAATTCCCGGAAATCCGGACTACGGGATCAAGCTGGGAAATGCGAAATGAGGCGTCCGGTGTCCGGATCTGTCCGGATGACTTGTCCGCTGCTGCCATGGTTTAAATCAAACACTGACAGTTAACCACCTACGGGGTGCAAAGCTTCAGCTTCCCCGCTCTTACTTTTGTCAAGCTGAATTTGCTACATACCAGCTAGGACCGCAGTCTGGGTCTGCTATGGCCATTCTCTCCAGTTCTCAACCATTTCCGGCTTCGTGTGCATCATCCTCGCACAAGTTTCATGGAAATCCTTTCCTACTGACTGACAGAGTCTAATAATCTCTAATTGCTTTCATTCCTGAAGATTGGATTCTGACTTTTGCACTATGGACCTTTTGATCAACTGCCCTCATTCTGTATCATTCTGCCACCAGTGAGGCACAGGACTCGGTCCATTTTAGCCCTTGCTTGACTGCAAAGAAAACTCAATGTGGTGACAGTTGTGAGCATTTGATTCCTTGAACTGTGATTTGCAGGCTCTCGGACAACAACTACAAGCAAAAGATAATATTATTGCAGGGATGGAAAAAACTGTTGAGAAATTGCAAAATGAGAAAAAGGAGCTGGAAGCACAGAAAGATAAGCTGGAAGAGGGATGGAATCGTACATGCCAACAGTTGGAGCACCATCAAAAGGTATTGTACCATACATGCTTCACACTACCCAAAGTGGATGTGAGAAGGGGCAGACTGCATATCAAAATTCAGAGTGAAGGTGTGGGCTCTCCTTCACCCCAGCCCACTTAGCCTATTGGTTAGGCACCCAGTGGGCAAGTGGAAGGTTGTGTGTTTGGTTCTCGGATCTGACAGTGCGGCTTCCCTACCTTTACTTCACTTTCAATGTCAAGGACAGAGTCAGGCTGCACACTTGCAGACGTTTCAGATGCTGAGGCGGACACTTGGTTTGGCGTCATAATAGGACCAACGAATCATGGGTGCATAGATAAAATTGGACACAGAGAGGAAGGAAGTTTTGGCTATCCAAGTAATGGTGGCAGGAAAGGACAAACGAGAATTGACAAGTCAAAGGAACACGATGCTCTGAGGAGTGCATGGGTACCATCACAGGTAGAGGAGAAGGGGAATGTCTAGTAAGACTTCTCAAAGACATGAGGTGTAGGGACTGAGCATGAGCAAGGAGATAGAGCAACACAGCTTTCTCAGAGATGAGAACTCAGTAAGGGTTCAGAATCTTCAGATGGACTCTTCACCCATAATGTGTGACAGCATTTGCATGTTACTAAACATAAAAAATTTTGATTCGTACCACCCAGATCTAAGTAGACTGGGGCGGAGGCCCAGATGCACCCAGATAGGCTTGAGGCCATGCTTGGCCGAGGAGTAGGATGAATGTTTTGTCATGGCTGTAGATCGTGGAGCATCTGATGGGTGAATGTTTTCTGAAAATTTTGACCAATATGTGTACGCCCCACAGCCTGCTTGAAGAAGAAGAAAAGCAAATCTGTTTACCATACTTGTGGCGCACAGTGCCCATGCACCCGTGCACGTGCATTCAGCGCGTTGTACCCCCTAAAAATAGGGGTTGACAAAAAAGTTGGGGAGGGATGGATTGTGGTAGCATGCCATGTTCCTCCCCTCGTAAAAATACTAGTTCCCCCTGCAAAAAGAGAAAAAAAAAGGGGCCGCGCTCAACATCAGCTCCAAAACTTTCGTTGTGTGTGTCTGAAAGGATTCATGTGCCTAAGCAGTCCGGCCCCTGTACGGCATCCCATTTTCATTTGTATCATAGGGCCACACTTAGAACTTTTTCATTTGGATCATAGGGCCACACTTAGAACTTTCCAGTAGATACTGCAGCAGACAAAATAGAGATCCGTTCGATAAGGCCCAGGGACAGTAGACGCCCCTAGTAGTCAGTCAGTTGGGAGTCAGTGTGTCCTGTCCCGGGGTCAAGTCACAGCTCAGTCCCAGGGAAGGCCCACGCCAGTCCGAGTCTTTGTCGGCCACGACAGGGCCACAAGTGGTTAATGGGGACCCCCACTTTCAGCTCCTGACTAACGGGTCCAAAACTGAAATTCGGGTTTGGGAACTTTGGGGGTCAATTTTTATTATTATTATTATTATTTTTGCCTGTTTTTGTTTTGGGTTTTGTTATAAATGGCATGAGAAGTTGTCTGAAAATTAAGGGCTCCGTTGACCGCCTCTCCCACACTGTTGACTACTTGCTCTCCATACACTGTGCATCCTGCCAGGAACTTGGCACTGAATAACGCTGCGGTGCTTCCGCATATGCGGAATCGAAGAAAGAGGGAGATCCTGACTGCTAGGCCACCTTTGTTCTGTGCGGGAGTGCCTCCGATATGGCCCGTGGCCATGCCTATCAGGCCCCGCCGAGTGCGGGGCATCATAGCTGCCGTGTAGGATAGCTGAGAGAGAGAGGAGAAGGCAAAGGACATTCAGAGACAGACACACACACACACACACACACACACACACACACACACACACACACACACAGAGAGAGAGAGAGAGAGAGAGAGAGAGAGAGAGAGAGANAGAGAGAGAGAGAGAGAGAGAGAGAGAGAGAGAGAGAGAGAGAGAGAGAGAGAGAGAGAGAGAGAGAGAAGAGACTTGTGCTATGCCCAGACTTGGACAAGAGATTGGGACTGAGACTATCTTGGGACGATTGTGAGACGCTATTATGATTCGCAGACACATTGAGTTGCAGTCTCTTCTTCTTCTTCTGTCCCACTGTCGCCTCATTCCCTGCCTACTTCCTCTGTGGGATTACCTCGCTATGAGTGTGGCGCAAGGCAGCCCTTTCTTCTGTGTACGAGCCCACCTTGCCCATATGTGTATGTCATGTCCAGAGTCGGATGAGTCCGATCTGTGCATTTTCCGTCTTACGCTGCATTACATTGTTGCTTTCTCACACTTTTGTGATTCCCTCGATCCGCACCATGCAAAGACAGGCGTGTGTCAATTCCTCAAGGCAGTCGGACTCGAAGCAGGGTGGCAACGCCCGCCATCGCTTCAGCCGAAGACGAAGAAGACGCCCTATCCACGCGTGCGCGAGGTTCTCCACGAGGGGATAAGCACTCCTGCAGCCCGATGCGCCACACGAACGGCATCTTCACAAGAACGAAGCCGCCTTCACGGGTACAACCGACTTCTCATAGATCGACATTCCAGCCCGCTGCCTCCCTCACACAAGGGAAGCATCCCTCCTCTGGCAAGTACCTGACCTGGCATCCAACGCGCTTCAAGCGCGGCTTCTCCACGAAGAAGCAGCTGTCATGGGAAGTTCGGCCGGCCGACCAAAGCCAGCCAGTCTCGAGTTGTCATCGCAAGGCATGAAGTAGCAGCCCTACCGCCCCCTCCTTTGAAGACACGCCGAGTGGACCTGTTGCCGACACGCTGAGTTCAAACTCACCCCAGGCTTCCCCCTGACGCGTGAGATTCATTCCCCCACTCTCGCTACCCCTTCTTCCCATTTCCCTCATCCGCCATCGTCTTTCACCTTGCTCTTTCCACTATCCTCCTCCCCTGCTGTCCCTCTCCCACCAACTCCACTCGCCCCAAGCCTCTCCCTGACGCGTGAGATTCATTCCCTCCCTCTCTCTATCCCTTCTCCCCATTTCCCTCATCCACCATCGTCTTGCACCTTGCTCTTTCCACGATCCTCCTCCTCACTGGGCCTCTCCCACTAACTCCACACTTCACATAGCCCTCACCTCAAACCAGCACAAGCCCGCGCCTTAGAGGACTTCATTCTTCTCGTGATCCAGTGAGGAGAACCTTCCCAAGCTCTCCAAGCGGAACCAGAGATAAAAAGATACCACACATCCACACATCTCACCACATACCAGACTAGCGAAGAACACTCACCGCACCCCACGCACGTAGAAACCCTATGTCACTCGCTCGCCTACCGTCACACAGCATACCTCCCCTCCCCTCCGCCCCCCCGGCCCGCCCCCATAGCCAAAACTCCATCGGGCAGCCACACTGGCCTCGAACATTCCTGACTCCACGGTCTTTACGGCAACCTGTCCAATCAAAAGAGTAAGCAAATACGAATCTCTCGCATTCTATCCGTTCTGGTTCCTGCAGCTGTGTAGTGCTCCATTCCCCCATACATGCTCGAGCCCAGGCCCGAGCATAGGCCTGAGTCGTGCAGATTAACAATAGAATCAAGATCAAGCAAGCAACAAACTCGTTAGAACAAAGAGGTTAGTAGAAAAGGAAAATTCAACGAAAACACACGTGAAGTTGTGAACATATAGACTAACACAAAAAAAAAGAAAAAGCGATGATTCAGTAAATGCAAAAAAACACAAGGCGAACAGCCCATCGGCCCCAACCAGTATTGTAACTGATGAGTTCTCCCGCACATAAACACTCGAAAAAAGAAGCAAAAAAAGAGCAGACTCGTAACGAGAAGCAAACGAACCCCGTTTTGACCACCCAGTCCAGAAAAATAAGTAAAACAATAGCTTACTATGCAGACTAGCATCCTCTAGAAGCAAGCATGGCTCAGACCTACTAACGACGGTAAAGCGTGGTAGTAACCACCAAAACGGCTACTTCTGAACTCCCTCTCAGAGTACGTCCAAAATGGACCACGAAACACCGCGCTTCCCTCTGGACGCACCACAAATCAAAGGAGAGAAAATCACGATCAAGGTTAGAAACACCAAAGACAGCACAAGAAGTGACTGCATGGGCTTACCCAAAAGACAAGATTGCTGACACGAAAACATTAAAACGGAAGTTGACAAGTTCTCTCTGCTCGGCCTGGGAAGAAACATGATGATCGCAGTGTTCAAAGATGCACATCAAGCGACACACCTGTGAGAGAAACACGAGACATTGAACTGCAATGGCTCGGTCTGCACCCTGTCACGCTGGAAATTGGAAACAGCCCAGCGAGCTGCAGTCTCGCCGGCGGCAGCCTACAAACAGCGATTGATGAGGGACGAATTCTCGGTACAATTCGATAACATCCCCCCGGGAGGTCACCCCCTGACCAAGGATCGACTGGAGGTGGAGTACCCAACCAACAAGGTCGTAAGATGGGTCCTCCCCACGCCCAATTTCCTAGCCCCCCACTGTGATTCAGTCACAGCAATCCTGGAAGTGCTCACCGATGACCCGCCAGTTTTCCCAGAAGAATGGCAATGCGTCATTGAAGACAAAGTTTTATCTGTAACAGTCTCCACCAAGGACTCGTCTTTTTTTTTTTTTTTTTTTTTTTTTTTCAAGTCGAAAGTCCCGAATACGACTTTTCAAAGAATGTATCAGTGAAGCACAGAAACTGCCGGATGCAAGCATCCGGTTGGCAGAACGACAAAGAGAGAGGCCACCTGGGCACAGGCCCCACATGCCCGCGTTCCACTCAACAGAAAAATCTCAGACAAAACATGCTAGTGGAGGTGGAGGAAGCGAAAGGGATCTGGTTTGTCAACGACTCAGAATATGATGGTTGGGTCTTCGATGACAACATCCTAGAACCCAAATGGATTTAGACATATACAAATACCACCCCGACGGTCAAACAATCAGACATCTTCCCACCATCGGACAGCAAATGCCATCATGTGGGAGCGAAGAAGATCACCGGGATACCAGGGACAATCCACTCAGATCAGATCATCGACTCTCAAGCAGTCAAG